TTAGTAATTTTAGTATAATGCAATTTCTTGTGCATATATTCCAGAACCTAAAAAGCATTGTTCTCATTTTAAATTTTCAGAATTTTTTGGTCTGTCATAAAATTATTTATGATTCAAATGTTCTAAACTTATACAAATTATTATAGTTTATTATTGCTTCTTCAGTGTTTTGCAAAATCATGATTTTATAAAAAATAATATTAAATTTCAAGTTGAGCCAAGCATAAACTCAACTCGGCTTGGCTCTTTTGGAGCTTTAATTACAATTTAATAGTATCTGTTCTGTTTGGAGCCATGCACTTGTTAAAAAGCAAATTCTTATTCATGACATAATACAGTAGTAACGTTTTTACATTTACCTTTTTTACCTTTTTTATTAAATCTTAATTTAATATGAAAATACATTTCTTCACTACATAATATATAGAAGTATATAAATTTACCCTATACATCATCCTTGTCCTTCCCTATTACATATCATATTAATATATGTGAAATATTATAAAGAAGTTTTGTAAATAAATATGTATGTATTTTTTTTAAATTCTGTATAAATAAACCATTTTCATAATAATAATTTTTTTAAATTTTTAATCTCATTCAATAAAGTTTGCATTTGAATCAACATCTGTTCATTATTATGATTTAATTTGTTTTCAAGTTTTTTTTCAATTTCTTCAAGATCATTTTTATCAATTTTGCCTCCACCTGGTTTGGGTATATCTGCTGTTTTTCTAAGTTCTTCAGAGATAAATTTCAGAAATCCTGGATCTCCTTTGCCATCATCAATTTCTCTGGTTTTTTTTCAAATATCTTCAATTGGCGTGTAATAAGATCTATCAAATTATCAAATTAAATTATTTATGATTATTTATAATATCAAAAAAAAATAAAGATAAATAAAATTTGTATATTTACAAAATATCAGGAAACCATTCTTTCCAATGACGTTGATTAGGAAGTAAATAAAATAATTCAATATCTGATATAATTTTTGCCTTTTGTGCCAAAAATGCTTCATTTATGTTATAATTTTCAATTTGATTGCTAAGAAGACCAATGAATAAATTCATTAAATATACCACAACAATAAATGAAAATAAAACAAATAATATTGC